ATCGCAGTTAATGCGCTGCTCCAGGGTAGGCGTCATTACGTAGGCCTGGATCACCACGCAAACCCTGGTATACCCTACATTCCTACACAACTAAAAATACGCTCAAATTCGTTGAGGACTACATTATTTGTTATCTCCCACTAGGAACTCTGAGTAAAAATTGATTGCTTTTTTCTCCCAGAAACGATTCAATTCTATGGGGACAAGAGAAGCATGAGCTTGTTAATTCCCATAGTAAGACTTTGTCTTTGACCTTCATCCAGGACATCTGCCCAATTGAAACCCTGTGTGGTGGTGGCGGTTGTTGCAGCTGTGGGAGACAGGCTTTAAAACGTACCGGTCAGATGTTTCGGACCTTGACGGGAAGCAGATAGTCTTTGGTAGCTGAGCTCTAAAATGGGATTATATATGAATCTGATGTGTAACAAATGCACGTTTGATCTCATAAGCTAATACTTTCGAGTGTATTAGTCTGAATGTGAGTTTCAGTGATGAGAAACGTGGTGGAAGTTGCTGTGCATAGAACAAATAAAACGCCAGAAAAAGCACTGAACAGCTGCTTCCACAGTTGTTTCAGACACGAAGAAAATTATCATACATCCGTGTGTAAAAAGTAATTCATATACACATAAATCAACATCGAAGACTGAATTTTAGTCAAACTGTGCAATGTACAAGGTGGGATAGATGTGTATGTAATAAGTGTTTTTACATTGCCTGATTAGCAGTCTCAAGGCCACCTCATGAAATCCCTACTGGTAGATTGCCAGTAAGCACTGCATGGTTTTGTTCCGATCTGATCATCGCAGATTTGAATCCCCCAACCTCGCACTTAGAACCGCAAGCTCATATCCCTTCTCTTTTGACTACCCTGCATTTGTCCTGTTTATGAGGAAATTCACCATCACACTAAATCATACGGTCCACCACTTTCATCGAATCATATTACTCTCCAACGTGAGGAACATCCAGGGAATTATCAGTACAAGACTGAATGTGTGTCCCATTAGGAGTGTGTGAGTTTCATAGCCGCCCCCCCCCGCCCTCTGATCGAAAACATTTTGATATTGATCTCGGAAATAGAGAAAATAACTTGTGACCAAATATTATCAGTTTGCAAACTGACATCCAGTCATAAGCCCCATTGATCTAAAGGTGGTGTATAGTATATATATATATGTATATATATATATATATATATGGCATGGACCTTTTGTATTCGGGCCTCAGTACAACCGGCTAATGCCGCCATTTTATGCCTGCCGTGTGGAAGCCCCAGAATGTGCCGCGCGAATTTGAAATTGATGTGATATATTATCTGTTGAACAGAATACATTTTTCACATTAGTACTCCTATGATAAATTGTATTTTTGTTTAATGTAAGCCCCGATTTCTCAGTTACTTTATTCATAATACATTGGCGAACATTTACATTGCCTGCTTCTGATATTCGTTTGTTTGTCGATTTTCTCCTCACAACATGTTATAGGTTTAGACCATTTTTTATGCATTGCGACTGGTGATTTCAATGGTTTTGATATCTTTTTCCCAACAAATCATGTAAATTCCCCTACGCCGCCTGATTTCCAACTAGACGGAATCCTTGTAAAGAACCCAGAAATCAATTTCATAAAAAAGCGGTTTCCCATAGGTATTTCAGATCATTGCTCTATTTCTTGCATCCCAAGGTTTACGGTTAATATATTTATCACCAAATGAACCGTTCCACAGCTAGGATCATCAGAAGGAGAAGTTGCACTCCGGACAACTTATCCAGACTTAGAGATATGGTTTCTTCCACCGATTTCACTGTCTTTTCCATTGATAATAACTCTTCTACTTGGGAGCATCTTGCATTTTATCTTAATTTTTGCCATGTTCTGTGTTACCCAGTTGAGACTTTATATCTTCGGACTGACACATTCTTTTCGCGTGTTCTAAAACGGCTTCGTCATGATAAAGAAAAGGCTTACAGAACTGGAAGGCGCAGTGCTGTCAAACATCTATCATTATTAATCAAAATGAAATACATTGTTTAAATTGGATATATATCGAAACTCTTATGGGAAACCAGAACTGCTGTGATATGTGGTCTGCCTTGAAGTAGCTCTGTGGATCACGTAACACCTGTTCCTCGGATGTTGAGGAGTTAAACCGTCAATTCGCANGTCAATTCGCAAATGCGTCTGTACTGAACTAAACAACACCTTTATTCACATCTACTGGAGCGAACCAATCAGTGCAGGCACAACCTCACATAAAAACAGCATCATCCCTTATTGTGCTCGTATCTTGGTCAACCGAGCAAATATTATTACTGACTTGGAAAATCATCTGTCACATTACGATTTTATCACATCCATTTGTTTTTAATTTAATAAGTGTATATTCATCTTTTTTCCATGATTAACGTTTTCCCTAATGAAACTTGTCGAAAGTGCTCAAAATTCATCCTATTGGGTGTATAAAGCTTAACTTGACCT